CAGCTCTAAAATGAGTTTGAGGCTAGGCATGGGTGAGAAAAGGGGGCTCAGGCATTTCAAAGTGTGAAAAAAATATCATTCTAAATAAACACCTATTCTAAAGTAGTGATTTCCAAACAATTGGAAAGCTGGGTGCCACTTTAATAGAAGAATAAGTAGAAGACAAAGATGAAGATGATGGTGATGATGATGGCAATGACAAAAACAATGAACACAGTAGTGGCTGCTGGGTAATGAGTTTCTTCCACTGTTCATTATGGCCACCCTCATATTGCCTTTTATTCGAACATTCTAGAACACTGTGGATACTTTACAAGCACGATTATGATATCCTATCAATTAAAAATTGATAACTAGTAGCAATCAATAGTTTTCCAGGGAAGGTACAGGGGAATAGTTCTTTTGCTGAATTATAACATCTCACCTCCTTGATAAAGGAACAGAAAAGTTCAGAGTAGAATGAGTCAAAAATTAAAAGGGGTGGCCTGAAACTGTTTAAAAACGGGAAAGATGTGATGTGAGGAGAGCTAATGTGAAAAATGAATTCATTTAGGAGAGTATAAGGCCCAAAGTGCCCTACCAGCTGGTCATGATCAGATTCTCCAACTCTGTCAACTGTAATATTATCTGAAACTGTGGAAGTATTTATTGCGGGAGATGAAGGAACCAGATTTTACACCAAACATATTTACACATTTGCATTTGTGGCCTTATAAACACACCATGTTACACTGGCCATAACATCAAACACATTTACCAACCAAAGGCATATGCACAATTACCAAGTCCTAGAGGATGAGAGAAGGCAAATGGCAACTTAAGGAGTATGTCTGTTTGTGTTTGTGACCTTGCTCTGCTGGCTGAAGAACCAATGAATGGGGGACATAGGGAAGGATTCTGTTTTCCTCTTGTCCTCTGCCCCTTGACCTGGTCCAGTCCTGGCCCAAATACAAGGGTCAAGATGACCCTTAATATCCTAACTGGGCTTCAGTCAGCCCTGCAGTCACCCCATTGGGAGGACCTCTGGCCAATTCAGGATTAGGAGGTCTTGCTAAAGTGAACTGTAAGATATTTGTTCTAAATTGCCTCAGGTTTTCTCTGACAGTAACAGAAACAGGTACAAACAAAATATTCAGAAAAGGTGAAGAGTTGTTGCATTAGTTAAATAAAGCACTTCAGACACACAAATCATAGTGGGGAATCACTGCATTTCAACAGCAAAGCCAGACCCTCCAGCAAGAGTAGCAGCAGAAACAGCAACAGTGGTGGCTGCAACTCCAAAGTAGGTCCTCAGCTAAGCTAGGAAATCAAAGCCATAAGGGCCCAAAAAGGGAAAACAGAAAAAAGTATAGACTCAAATCTCTAGCTGACAGACAACCTTTAACAAATGACACTGAGTGACTATTACATCAAAACAATCACCTCCCCAATTCTCTCAGAAGACAGACATAGGAGAGGAAATGGGAAAAGTCCAAGGAAAGTAAAAAGCCTTTTTCTCAGGAGGAAAAGACCATTGTTTACCCCAATTACACTGGAAGTACTTTGATAATAAATACATCAGAAGTTACAGTTCCATCAGCAAAAACTTTCAGTGTCAAAGTTCCCTCTGTGTGGTGGGGGGGGGGAGTGCTGAGAAGAGATGAACAACCATACAGACTGCTCAGCCGATAAAAAATGGGAAAGGACATCACGTATTTCCTTCCTTGGATCTTTTTGTAACTTTTCGCTCACATTCTTTCTGTCTCCATTTTTAAGAGGAAAGGGGATGGGTGTTAAGTACACCGATAGAGTATTGAGTAGCAATGACTTCTCATTTTAAAGAAATAATTATACAATATAGAAAAAGAAATCGAGGAAGAAACTTTCCTAGGTCGTGACACCATGTGTGGCATAAAGAGCAATTCAATCCATAAGGGTTTCATTATGCTAGCAATAGATAACATTTGGCTAAATCTAGCTCTAGATTAGATCTCCGCCTTACACCAGCACCATAAATTGAGAAGTTCCTTTTTGTGTGGTCCATCTTGGGGAACTGATTGGACCTTCAGTCCCTATATATTCCTCTCCCTTATTAACAGCAATTCCCTCCCAATTCAGTTCATTTGTTTTGGAGCTTTACCGGGATATGATGGAGATGGAAAAACAAGAAGGGGGAAAAAAAGAGCCGGGTTAATGAGTTGTGGTAAATCCACACTTTGTAGTGGGGAGGAGGAGAGAGTGACCAATGTTTGTTCAATTGGTTTATTTTTAGAGGTCCTGCCGATTTGTGAAGTCTTGTTCAACTAGGCTTCATCCTTACAAACACACAAACATCCTTCTGTTTGCCTTCAAAGAAAAGGGGACATAGCGCTGGATTTGCATGCGAATGAAGAGCCCTGGCGCAGAGATGTTGTTAGCCCCATCAAAGGCTGCGGGGCTCTGCGGCCGGCCGGCCTTTGTTTCAGCACCTGCTAGGCCAGCCCAGCCTGACCGCTGGCCGCACACTACGGGCACACGGCTCAGGGATTTGGGCCCGCACTGTCCTGCAGGGTTTAGAAAGCCGATGGCAGAATCAAAAACCTGGAAGATAGAATTGCTGAACCGGCATAATGCAAAACCGTAACAGATAGTTGTACTGGTGAGAATCATTATTTGCATTTTCATTTCCGAATAGAGTAGAAGATATTAAAGGCAACCCATCTCTGAGTCATGTAGGCACCCTTCAGCCTGGTGTACTGCATTACTGTAAACACCTTTTCTCTCTGTTGCCACAGGAAAAAATGTGAGGCCAAGCCGTTCTTGTGAGTCTGGAGAGATGTATTTTAACAGGGATAAGTTTGTCTTTCTCAACGCCTCTTTGCCGTTTCTTTAAAGGGACAAAAACCAGGAAAAATGCAATACTTTTTGAGGCCTAAGAATAAGGTCAGGATTTAGCTTGCCGTTCCATACTTTCAGAACATCTACACAGAATCTATATATGAAGACAATATTTTGTTCTTTACCCTTTCGGTAATTACTTTCAGATCTAAATTTCGGATCTTTCACTGCCAGTAATTTGTATATCTTTAAAAGTATGCCTCCACTAACTTGTCACTCTGAGCTAGCATCTGTGATATAGTCCATAAACCATTTTAAACTTCTTCTGAGTCTGAATTACTTGGCCTTTTATGGGGGAGGGGAGAAGAGGAAAATGATGGTCTTTAGAATATTTTAAACTTGCATCTACTTATTCTCAGATTCATATTATTTATTTTAAAATATTGTTCAGCTTTTTCTCAACTATCCCTGGGAACAAAGGTTGAATTGCCTTCTTAAGAGTGTTTATACATGAGTAATCATTTTATTTTGTCTCTGTTTGGGTAGAAAAGGGACAGGAATCTCAATAATGAATATAATAATTGCAAGATTTTACCCTTCCAGCATAATTTGACTTCAAAATGGAAACTTTTTAACAGTCTGCATACAGATCACAGTGGAGACCAAATCTGCAAATCTTTATAATATGTGCTTATATTTGTAGTGTAAAAAGATCGGATTTGTTGACTTGGCCTCAGCTGTACTATATATTGTTAAATATGTAAATACATTTAGATGTATGTCCTAACCTATTACATACCCTAAATTTAGAATTACAATCTCTGTAAAAAAAATTCGCTTAAAGTACAGACTTATATTTTCAGTGAATTAGAAATTAGCTGCTTTAAGACTACATTTTTAGAATATTTAAAACTATCTTAATTTTGAGAATCACTTATGCCTTAAATATTAGTTCAATGAAACATTTCATGAATTTTATTTGGAAGTTTTTTTCAGTTGAGTATATGCTAACTTAAAGTTATATTTATCTTTTAAGTACATGGGGATTTAAACACCTGTTTTAAAATTTCATACTCTTTCCATCTTAAAAAGAATTGCATTTTAAAATATATCATTTTGTGCAAATGTAAAGCTTTAATACATTTTAAAATAATATTTAAATGAAAAATTATTTTCAACAGCACTTTGTTTTGTACATAAAGCAAAGAGAACATCTACATTGTAGATATTTAAAACTTTTTCTCTTTATAAAATGTTTAAAACTAATTATTGTCTTGCTTTTCACTACTGTTGCAGTATTATTGGAGATTACATTTTTATTATAGACACAGAACTGCATAGTATTGTGCTGAAAAGTGAATAGAAGTTATTCACCTTAGAGAGTAAAGTCCAAAATTAGAGGTAATGGTCCCATACCTTCTCTTAAAGTAACTATTTTAAACTTTTTGAAGACTAAATATGATCAAGTCAATTAAAATATACTCCCAGAAAACATTATTTTCTACTTCATTTGTAGGAACATTTCAAAATTATTTCTTATCACCTTTTCTTTCTTCTTTTCCCATAGCTTGACTGAGAAAGAAAAGTCATAATAGGACCTTTTGATGACTCTCTTGGAAATTCATATTTTTTTATTCTATTGCACATTAAACGTTCATATTAAGATAGAACTTTTTTAACAGAAAAGGGGGAAAAAAACTAAGAAGGGGGACAAGTCCAAGCAATTTTTTTGGTAGATTTTCTTTGAAAATTAAAAATTTTTATTTCCAAAAAAGTGTAAAAATCTTACATTAGAATGGTACAATAATAGTTGCCAGTAAATTTTACAATATTCCTTTTAAAGAATACGCATTCAGTACAAAATAAAAATTCAATAAGTCTATTATGATACAAAACACAGGTTAGGATAAGAAATGATAATCTTGACTTTTTTCTTCCGTGTAAACATGTTAATCATTTTTTTCCTTTTATAAAAAAAGTACACCAGATAAGTGTCCTCAGATGAAAAAGTATTGCTTTGCTGCTGTCCCTCAGGACCTCTATTATTATTTTTCCTTATTATTAATCTTCTGTACATTATTGATTTTGAACCCTCGGACCTGAGAATCTCGAAACCGCAAAAGGGCTCAGAGATTTATTTTATTAATATTAATAATAATAATTAAGAAATCCGAACAACCAAAAAAAAAAAAAAGCAACCACCTTCCAAACACGGATACTGCCACCAACCCTCAATCCATCCATCCACATGGTTTCTGCTGCTGCAGCATAGGATTGATTTTGCATAAATAGTGGGCATCAGGAGGGGAGCCCGGTCTGCCGCCGAAAACACGCGGTCTCGCTGGGGTGGGAGTGGGGGTGGGGGTTCCACGGAGGCCAAGGTGACTGTAGGGGGAGGGGTGGGAACAAAACGCAAACCCCAAACCCCGACCAAGTCAGGAAAGTAAGAAGGACCCCGATATCCTACCTTCTTTTTTTTCCCCCTCAAAATCGGTTTGTTTGGTCTTTTAAAGCAAAAGAAAGCTACCAACCATTAACAGTTCGAAATCCTAGCGGTCAAGGTCTCCACGCTGGACAGGGCCGTCCCCGGGTGCAGCGTCCCCAGCGCGGCCGAGGACGACGAGGCTGCGGCGGCGGCGGCGGCGGCGGCCACTAGGGAGCGGGTGAGCGCGGCTGCGGGCACCACGGCCGCCTGCACCGCGCAGCTGCCCCCGGGCGCGGCGGGCGAGGGCGACAGCGGCGACGACGACGAAGACGACGACGACGACGACGCGGCGGCGGCGGCGGCCTGGGCGGCCCGGGCGGCGGCGGCGGCGGCGGCGGGGCCCAGGCTGCCCCCGATGATGCTCTCGATGGAGAAGGGCGAGCGCGCCAGGCCCGGGCCGGCTCCCGGCTTGGCCGCCGCCTGCAGCGAGCCCGCCAGGCCCGGGCCCAGCGGGGGCGGCGGGTAGCTGAAGGCGGTCCTGGCCAGCTCGGCCGCCGCCCCGTGGGCGGGTGGCGGAGGCGAGTGCGGGTGTGGGTGCGAGTGGTGGTGGGCGGCCGCCGCAGGGTGCGGGTGG